CTATATTTTAGATTATTTATAACATATTTCTTTATTACCTCTAGCTTCTTAAGGTTCTGTTTGTACAACAGACTATAACTATTAGGGAGAGGCTCTGTAAGGACAATCTTGTAGTTATATAGACAATGTACTAGTAGCTAGTAAGCTGCTGTGTAGCTAAATACATCTTAGTACTAATAGTATTTAGAGAGCAATTAGAGGTTTACTAATGCTTTAGTTTTACATTTAGTGTCTAACTATAAAGCTTACTTATCTTTAATTAACTACTTAATTTTGTAAATAAAAGTTAAAAAGAACTTATTCTCCCTTTTTTTTATGTTAAAATAAAAAGCATTTACTAAAATTAGGGCAATAGTAGCTAAACAGACCTCCTTTAGACCTGTTCTAGACTTCTTAATAGATAAGCAGAAAGATAATTTAAGTGTCTTTAGACTATAGATAATAGAAGATCTGTATAATTTTAGTAGCCTTAGCAAACCCTTAATGCAGTGAATTGTTAGGCTGCATAACTGCTAAAATTAGTCCTTTTTCTATAGTGCGTTATGTTGTTTAATATCTAGCTCTACTTCTTTATTGCGCGTAGGCTAGGTTAGTTGCATAAGTAAGGGCAGTAAAGGTTTGTAAGTAAGCAGATATTTACTAGGCTATATAATCTAATTTCTTTTTATATCTAGATAGAGTTTAAAATAACATAACTATTTAATGCTAATAATGTAATTCTAGGAGCTAAAGTTTATAATAATAAAAAGGCAGTTTTAGATGCTTTTTCTATTAATTTACATGTGCAGGCAGATATACTAGTAGATAGGGACTTAGATCTAATCTTAAAAGCCCTTAACTATAACTTTAAATAGTAAGCATTAGATAAGGACATAAAAGCATTAAAATAATAACTTAGTAGTTAGTAAGTTAATAAATAAAAAACTATAAGCGCTAGTATTAACTAAAAGATTTAAACAGACTTTAATGCTTTTTAAATATAAAATAGTAGAGACTTAAAAGTGTTTTCCTTTAAATAAGTGCAATAGATTAATGTTTAATAGATTATACTTACTTAAGCCTAAAACAAAGAGTTTTTCTAAGTGTTGCTATTTTTTATTTAAAAGGCATCTAGATTAAAATTATTTATATTTATAAATTTTTTTTTAAAATCTTACTGCTCTACCTTTATTTCTTATACTTTAGAGATAGGGCAGTTACTAGTAAAATATCTTAGTTTTCTATAATTATAATAGTTGCTAGGAGTTGTCTGTCTTTCTAGAGCAGGTGTCTAGCTAGATTGTCTATAGGTAACTAAGGTAAACTAAAGTACTAATAAAGGTGCAGGTTAGAGTGCACTAGAATAGTATACTGCCTTAGATGTATTACTAGAAACCTTCTAAGACTAATCTATACTAGGTCTAATAGTAGACTATTAGGTAAAATTAACAGTTTGCTCTAAAATAGCAGGGGTATTCCTTCTTTCTATATTATAGGCTATTAGGTGGGCTACTATAGTCTTAAAAGAGCTCTTTTAAGTGTACTTAAAACCTAAGTTTAGTACTTTTAAGCTAGGCAGTATCTTTTTTTATAGGTAAAAAAACTATTCTAACTTTAATACAGACCCTTTAACAGTAGCACTAATAAAGTAAGCTTTAAAGGTAGAAAACACTTTTTCTTTACTTATCTTTAGAGTTTAAAACGCCTGTTACACCTTTATCTCTTTATTACTAGTAATAAAGTATGTTTATAAGAGCTTAATTATTTCTTTTATATTTCTAAACTAAAAGTTGTCTAATTTAGCTAGGTATCTAGGCTCTAAGTATTCTTTTGTAATACTAGCAGTGTGTTCCTATACTAACGCTATGTGTGCGCACTTACTTTAATAGTAATCTGCATTAATGTTAAGTCTGTCTATAATAGAAGCTTACTATTATTTAAACATAAGTTCTTTGCTGTCTATAAAGTTCTTAATCTTAGGTATATATTTAGTAAAGTAGCTTTAAGAAAGCTTAAAGGTGCCTAAAAAGTCTTTTACTATTAAAGTAGTAAAAGTAATTTAAAGCATTATTAAAAGTAATTTAGTAGTTAGTAGAGGATAATTAAGACTAATAGTTTTTAATCTAGTTAGCTGTTTAATTTATGCCCTTAATTAAGCAACTTAGTTCTTAAGGGCTATACTGCTAAGGTTTAACTCTAAATCTAGTAGGTTTTTAGCTTTAGGTCTTATAAAAAAGAGTTTAGCTATTAAGGTTAGTAGTAGTTTAGTTTTAAAAGTAGGCATTTTGCCTTAGCTGCAGCTAGAATAGGTTGCAGTCTTTATAATAAGATCTAATAGTAGTTAAAAGTTAGGCATTAGTAGTTGTCTTTAATTTTAATAAGTTATTAGTAGTCTTTAAGTTTTTACTTTAGCACACTTTTTACAACTTTTCTAAAGGCAATCTTAATTATAGGGGATAAGAAGTTCTAAACTTAAAGGCTTTAGTTAATAAAAAGTTTTTAAGATTTTATCTATACTAACTAAATAATTTAATATAATAGTGTGTAAAAATAGTAACTTAAACTAAATTAAACGCTTCTTAGAACTTAGACATAGTTAAATAAATAATTAATGTAATATTATAATAAGGCTGTTACTAGCAAAAGTAAGTTTTTTAATATAATGTAACAGCGCAGGTAAGACAATAGGTCTAAATGCAGTATAAATCTACTTAGAGGCATATAGGAGTGCGTAGGGACTTAGAGACCTGGGAATACTAATAACACCTATAGGCCTTGTACGTAGGATATCAGAAAACTACTAAGCTAGCTACAGGGGCAAGGTGCGACTAAATACATGCAGGAATAGGGGTAACTGCGGGGGACTGGGTCAAGTCATGGTCAGGGCCGATACGGGGACCCTTCGGATAGGATCCGAGCGACCCGAGATGGAACGATTCATGAGGATCGTTACAAGATTATGCTTAGCGTGTAAAGAATTAGCTATATTAGCTATAAATGCTATCTAAGAGGAAAATCCTTGCGTATATAGCTTAAGTATAGTCTTAATAATTACCTACTTTTTATTATTACCTAGCTTTTATAAGTTAGCTATAAAATTAGCTTATAAAGGTTATCTAGTGCTATAGTTATTTATTATTTTTTAAAAAACTTTATACATAGCTATAGTATGTTTTTTTAAAAGTTTTATGTTTTATTTAAAAGCTTAGAGTGTAAGCTATATCTAACATTTTTTTAGCATGTTTAAGTAGTGTTGTTAGAAATACATTAGTGTAGAAAAGGTAGTTTAGTAGGGTCTTAGTAAAAGTAAGCAACTTAGGTGTGTAAGCAACTCGCCTGTAAAGTATGTTATTATATAACGTACCTAACAGGTTGGCCGGCCACACGGGTTGGCCGGCCACTTTTGCTAAGCCCCTACTAAAACCACCCTATTCTCTCACAAAATAGCCTACTTTAGCCCTGTATAAAGTAATACAACATAAGATATTATTTAGAGTCTACTTTTACTACTTACTTACACATATGTAAGTTATGCCTAGTCTAATTATACTACTTATATTGCCTTTAACTTAGCTTACTTTTTTTAGCGTGCACCTGTGTCTTTAGCTTCTTTCTATTACTACATGCTCTAAACTTCTTTAGAGTAGTTAGATAAGCTTTATTCTTAACTATTAAAGTCTTTTTTACTTAAATTTACTTTTTTTTATGTAATCTATGTTATGTAGTAGCTTTATTTACTACTTAAAGCTCTATAATCTTATAGCCTACTTTATTATGTTAATGCTCTAGATAACTATTATCTACTTTTTATTATTTTACTATATTGCTTTTAGCTATCTTTATCTCTCTAAAGCTATAATAACTACTCTAGTTAATATTTAGCTTATTATAAAGCTTAACTTATTAAAGTTATACTTATTTTTATCTTAGATACTATACTTAGCTTTTATATTAGCTATAAGGTAAAACTAGCCCTAAATAACCTCTAGATCTTTATAAAGCGCTTTTTTATAATTATACTTATAATTAAACTTTATTATAAACTTAAGGTAGTGCTTAACCTATATACTAGTCTAGTTTAAGCTAACCTAGCCTAGATTACACTCTATAGGCAAGGAATTAGCTATATTAGCTATAGCTGTAAGCCTAAAAAGAAATCTATGTGTAATAAGCTTAAGTATATACTTAACAACTACTTTTTTTTTAAGCTTAGTTAAATTCCTTAATTTAGGCTAGCATTCTGCTTATAAAGGCTGTCTAGCGCGTTAATTGCTTAGTGTTATGTAAAAGATATTATAAATAGCTGCAGTGTGTTATAAGAAAAGTTTTAAGTTTTATTTAAAAGCCTAAAAAGTAAGCTGTATTTAACATTCTTTAGAAGATTTAATCTAGTATTGTTGTTAAGGCATTATATAGATAAGTAGAGTTTAGTGGGGGCTTGGCAAAAGTGGCCGGCCAACCTGTGTGGCCGGCCAACCTGTTAGGTACGTTAATACTTTATTATACTACTTAGGCCTATTGTTATCTATTCTATCCTCTAAGTTGTAGAACTACTATAAAGGGGGATAATGTAAGGCTAGATGTTCTAGAACAGGCTATTATAGCCTTACTTGACCTGTTTAGGGGTCACATGGCCTGTGCTTTGTATATAAGCATGAATTCTGACAAGCGAGGCTTGGCAGCGATTTGTCTCTCTTACAATACACTCCCATCTTTCTCTGAAACCTTGCTCTCAGTGCTATCCGTGCTACCTACTATCCCATCTTTACACTAGCCTAAGTTCTTTCTCCTCTCTACCTCAGGCTGAGCATCTCACATATCTCTTCCATGTCTGCAATCAGCACCGCGGGTAGCATAACAATAAGGGACAAGTACTTTTTCAAGGAGGCGCTTGGAGTCATCGCATCGTACAGAGTGCGATTGGGAATGGACTGCAAGCGCAACGAGTTCAATTCAACAGGTACTATCTACCTTATATACATGCGATCCTCAAACCTCTCGCGTCTCTCGTTAACGCAAGTCTAGTTCGGGGTAAGCTTCAAGAGGCGGCCACTAGCACCATCCTCAATGACCCAAATGGCGCCATCCTTATCCTCGCGAATACCGCGCATCCGTTTACCCATGGAAACGCGCTGAGCCTCCTTGGCCGTATCCCCAGTAATGGTCACTCGCACGATTGATTGCGAGCTAAGCCCAGTGATGATAGCATTGCCCTTCCAGCTAGAAAAAAGATCCCCCTTGTAAATGATCAAGCCAGCCGGAGAGATAACAGGCACCCAGAACGCCTTTGGCGCAGCAAAATCAGGGCGCGTGCTGTGCGCAGGGATCGTCGTCCCGTTGTAATGTTTTCCCTGGGACACGAGCGGCCATCCGTAGTTCTTGCCCCGCTCGATGAGGTTGAGCTCGTCGCCGCCCATGGGCCCCATTTCGATCTCCCAGAGGCGACCCTGCGCGTCCCAGTCAATGCCTAGCGGGTTGCGGTGGCCCAGTGACCAGATCTGCGCCTGTACGGCGCCTTGGCTGGCGAACGGGTTGCCCGCGAAGGCTGTGCCGTTGTCGTACAGCTTGATTATCTTCCCTAGGTTGCCCGTCATGGACTGCGACGGCCACATCTGGTTGATCTCTCCCGACGCGATCCACAGCGCGCCGTCTGGACCGAAGAGCAAGCGTAAGGCAAATTGGAGTCCGCCAGAGGCCCTCTGCGTGTGGCGCCAGATGACCTCGAGGTTGGACAGCGCGCCGCCGTTGGCGTTGAGCGTCAGCTTGGCCCGCACGACTGCACCGCCTGCGCCTCCGCTGCCGCTCTCGGCGTAGCTGATATACACGATGCTGTTCTCGGCGTAGTTGGGGTGCAGGGCGACGTCGTGGAGACCGCCCTGGCCGCTGTAGGCGACGGTGGGTACACCGGTAATGGTGAGCTTGGACCCGGTGGCTGGGTCGACGAGATGCATGTTGCCTCGTCTCTCGTTGAGGAGGATGCGGCTGTCGGGCAGGAAGGCGAACGCCCATGGCTCGGCAAATGTGGCGATGGCTGTTGACTTCCACGGCTGCTGGCGAGTGTCTAGGTGTTGCGATGGGACGGCCAAAGCACCGGCCACCATTGCCAGAGCGTAGGCGAGAGAAAGTGGGAGATGCATCGTTTTCGGTGCGGTTTGTTCTTCTCGGTTTGGTCGTGTTCCTAGACGATCGAAGGTTCACATCGTAGAGAAACACCGAGATGGTTCCCCCGAGAGGGGATATATTTCAAAAACAAGAGGTGTCGAGCAATCTCTTGTCTACTTTCAGGCTATTCCCGCCTTTGATGATTTTATATATGCAGGCAAATCATGTTCGAACAAACCCTCATGGATAGGTATTGAAATATACCACTGTATACTCAAAACTCTTGGAACACCGTTAGCGGAGGCCTGTGCTCAAAGTGTTCCGGCCTTGGAACACTTGGTACTCCCCAAACAATTCAAGGTTCTCCGCAGCTAACATTAATTAAAATATCAGCACTTCATAAGGATTGCCGGGTGCATGCCTAAATTTTGTGCGGTGAACCCTACCAAACAGGCTATGAACACCAAACACTTTGGGCGTCTGCACACAACCAGCCAACCATGAAAGACAATATAGCTCAAAGCCAAGCATTGTCAAATGAGATGCTACCATTCGAATGCCGTCGCGACCGGACTTGGCAGGCCCCCTCGAGCTTGGCTTAAGTCTTCTCTTTACTTCTTACCTTGAGTTTACATCTGAGGGTCTTCTTCAACTTGATGCGCTCATGCAGGGACTGCAGCACTGATACAGATGCTATAAACATCGGACCCGGTTATCAAGATGGCCTAGAAAACGTACATATCGCCGAATCTTCCACCGGCATCCCACGATCTCAGCCAGCGCCTCAAGCTTGCCAGCCTGGTTATAGAGCGCTTTGACGATGGCCTCAGGCTTACTTGCTGCGCAACTCAGACACATCAGGCCTTCACTCCTCAATGTACGCCTTTTAGCTTAGATGACTCCAGGCATAGGAGCTGCAATGTCCTTGCGCCCTGAATTAGGGTTAGGGTTACGCCCTGAAAAGTTCACCTTGCCGGTGGCAGCGACCACGAATTAATGGAACTTATCCAACAAAATAGACTTCCAGGAGACTCCGACGGATTATAAATGTTAGCAAGGAGACTTCTTTCCCTACGCGCTACATTATACCCATGCGCCGACGGTAACACTTCCCCAGTCTATCCGCTCCGATCATTCCAGGTCCAATATACCATGAGCTCGAGCCGGACCAAATGGGAGTTGTAAAGTCGGTGTAGACATTACTACGATTAAGAGCAGTGTATGCTAAGCTTCATAGATGTAGTAGTCTAATAGCTGGAAATGTCTGATATAAAGCAAAATCTCTCGATATCATATTTCCCGATGATCTCGAACCAGAAGGGCGATGATACTAGAGAAGAAGGGCTGAAAACCGTCCAGGGAGTGCTAAAGAAGATGGATTGGTATGCCTACGTTAGTTAGACAGGTAGTAAAGCCGAGGCCACCCTTGTAAAAGGAGTGAGATGCCCGCTTCCATATTTCATTCAATAAAGGGGACTGGGTCCCGTTGCTGAGGAAGTAAGATGTAGAAGATGATTATGTTTGAATGTGATAATTGATTGATTGACTGTAACAACGGGAACAGGTGGTCTATATGCATCAGCCCTTCTGGCTCCCAGCCACCTAGATCCTAGCTAGCCAGCCACCGGATCCGAACGGATTAATACAAGGAAGCTGATTTTACCCTCCCAAAGACCGGATCTCATGCGGACTTGAACGAAGAAATCCTGGCCCTGGAACCTGATTTTTAAATGGTGAGGCTTCGACAAATCGCCTCTTGGAGTGCCATGCGTCAAGAAAGCAGCCTTCCACGTCTTTGCTACCTGTTCGAGGTTGTTAGAGACGGAGTCTGTGCTGACTATTTCAGTCCATATACGTCGCTCTCTTCGCTCAAAGCGTAAGCGAACTTGGAAGATATTCAAAGGAATGGAGTCCCCATAGGGTCTTCCGTGTCCTGTCGCTAACCGGAGAATACCGAGAAACACGCCAGAGTCTTTCCTTGTTATGAGAAGGACATTGTTGTCTGACGACCACAAGCCCGCAGGCCAAGCATCCAAGATTCTGAGTCTGACGAGAAATAGTATGCTTAATTCTATGCGAAAACAATGCATGTCCGGGACAATTAAGGTCTCGGGGATGATAGGGTCCTGCCGCACGTAGAATTGTGCTTTTTCCCCGACCGAGGCACTGATGCCCAGGAACTGGAGACGTTTCGCATCGAAGCTTGTGTACTGCCCCTCGTGGCTCACTTTTCTGAGCAAGATGCTGACAGGACTCCCAAGCGGGTTCCGCGCCAGCAATGTGGCTCTGTAGCAACCCTCTGAACCCGAGGGGACGATATTCAGCTGTACTTGGAGGCCCAGATTTGTGATCGTGGAAGGCACGTTGGGTGTCCGCATTTTTGTTATTATGTTACAGCCTAGGAAGTCGGGTGGAGATTGAGCGAGCAAGCCCCGCAAAGCAGAGAAATCGGCTGTGGGGTCTTACCAAGCGAATGTAGTTTGATCCGAATTAGTTTGCATGATTGCTTCTTGTAATCGAATAAAAGCCTTGGACCCCTCTCCGTAGAGCATGGGCATGTGGATGTCGAATAGACCCATGAGGCGATAAGCTGTGTCTTCGACGCGAGTCGTGGACCGGTTCGCCGCCCATGACATGCTCTGCGCAATGGACATATCGCTTAGATCTCCCGTCCGGAGTACGCGTAGGGGTATTCCAGTAGCCTGTGCAATCTTCTTTATCCCGATGGTGTGATGTTTCGCAGTCATGAAGCCCCAATCACGATTGCAGAAGAACAGTCTGGTTGGGGCGACAAGCTCCTGCGGTGTCCAACCTCTAGTGATCCATCTAAATTGGGACAGTATTCGCGCGAAAAGGTCGAAATCTTCTAGGCTTTCTAGAGGCGACTATTGGAGACGCCGAATCGTCAAGGTACACAAGACAAAGCCAAGACACCTTGTACCATTAGTACATTGAGTTTATGGCTTCTTGCAATTCCGCACTGCTACTCTTGCCGATGCGACATGTATCGACCCGCGTGTATCTGCAACCCAGTGCCTTGGCGAATCTTGCCGTGCCAACAATCTTTGCGTATCCTGGTCTTTCCATTATTTCCCGCTCAGTCACCGAACGGGATCCTACAGTGATGGGGCTGAGCAATAGCGAGAGAACAGGGTCGTTCTTGACATTATCCGGTATTGACTTCATCTTCTGGAGCCAGCACATATCTTGATAGCTGACTTCCTCGTCGCCCCATCTATAGGACAAAATCACATACTTAGGTAGCTCACTTTCGCTAAACCACTTGAACTCAAACGTATGGACATCGACAAGTCGCATGGTGAACAATGAGAATTGGCGAACTTCCGTACTTCCGTCGAATCAAAGCCAGGGAGATGCTGGAGATTTTCGCGAGAACTTTGGAGTTGTAGTTGTATGTTCTCGGGGTAGCGTTCGTTATCATTGGATGTGTCGAACCCCGTTAAAGAAACAGAATTAGGCTGTAGTATTTAATCATATACAAGTCCCACAGCGACTACTAACTCCCAGGATACAAGTAAGAGAGGTCGTACTACTATGATCTAGCGGCCACGGCCGAAGCAAGGCTGAAAAGTCCTGAGCGAAAGTATTTAGTCGCACCTCTCCCCTGTAGCTAGCTTAGTAGTTTTCTGATATCCTTTTGTACAAGGCCTATAGGTGTCTATGGAATTCCCAGGTCATTAAGTCCCCACGCACTCCTATATGCTTCTGAGTGGTGTAAAGATGGGATGGTAAGTAGCACGGATAGCACTGAGAGCAAGCTTTCGGAGAAAGATAGGAGTGTATTGTAAGAGAGACGAATCGCTGCCAAGCTTCGCTTGTCAGGATTCATGCTTATATACGAAGCACAGGTCATACGACCTCCAAACAGGTCAGGTGAGGCCATACTGGCCCGTTCTGGGACATCCGGCCTTACATTATCCCCCCTTATAGTAGTCCTACAACTTAGAGGATAGAACAGATAATAATAAGCCTAAGTAGCATAAAAAAGTGTTACATAATACTTTAAAAACTTACTTCTACTTATTTTAGTTAATTTTATATAAGTTTATTTAAAAATAACCTAGAGTTATTAAGTAAAGGTAAAGTAAAAGTATAAAGTAAAAGTAAAGGTAAAATAGCAGTATATCTTACGCTAATAAAGTAGCAGTTAGGATAGTATATATAGGGTCTAACTATTCTAGAAATCTATCTCTTTTACACTTCTGCCCTCTTTATAGCTTAGAGTTTAGAAGATTCTAAACTTTTTAAAGTAAGTACATTCTAAGCTACTCTAGCATAATCTAGCGCAAAGAGGTGCTAACAAGCTTTAATAGTCCTATCCTACTCTGCTTACGCTTACCTGTTACTTAATCTGCTCTTAGCTTCTTCCCTTATGCTTAACTTTACTTAATAACTTTAAAATAGACTTTTACAGCCTACTTTATTATAATCTAGCTATAGTTTTTTTTAAAAAAGATTAATTAGCTTCTACTAACATAAACTTACACTCTAATAACTTTTATGTCTAATGCGTTAACAAAATGTCCTACAAGGGCATTATAAATAAAAGTAGTAGCTGTTATATGCTTATAAATAATAAGTTACATTATAGCATAAAAAAAAAAAAAATTAAGTACACTAAGTGTGCTTATTACTTTAAATTTAGTAAGAAGTGCTTTAAGGTGTATATTCTAGCTCTTTCTAGCATATTTACGCGCAGTCTGTCTAGGCTAACTTTAGATAGCTCCTTATTACTTTTAAACCTAAATAATAGGCTTTTAAGGACACTATGCTTAATATTTTAGCCCTTATTAATCTACTTAACTTTACTTAGTTAGCGCAGGCTAATGCAATAGTTATGTTGTAAGTAAACACTATTATTTAGTTTCTTTAAGTGTAAGTCTTTCTGTTATAGTATAATCTAGCTTAATTAGCCCTATTTTAGCTCTTAATAGTTTACAGTAAAAACAAAATCCTGTATAATAACTATCTATACACGCATAGTAGCGTTATAGGTAAAATTACTAAGACTAGAGTTGTTTTTAAGAAGTGTGCCTACTCTAAAGCTAATATTGCTAAGAAAGAGAAGAAGAAGTGTAAAGCACTTAAAAAGAACTCTAATAAAAATAAAGCTATAATAACTCTATTTAAAAAAGTAGGTGTACACTATTCTTAACTATTCTAGCACTAACTAGCATAATAGAAGAAATATAGTGTTAAAAGTGTCTGTGTTACTAAAGCTAAGTAATATTATTATATTAATGCTACTAAAGCTGCTAATGTAATCTACTATGTCTTTAAAAAGCATAATAAGGCTAATAATATTAAGAATAAGGCTAGTTAGGATTAAACCTTAGCTAAAAAAAGGTAGCTAACTAGGTATAATAAAAAACATTTTAATAGTTATTCTGCTATTATAAATTTACCTATAAAGAACCTTAATGTCTAATCTAGGGCCCTAATAGCACAATCTAGTGTAATCTAGCGCATCCTATAGTAAAAATAGTTAAGAATGTATAGTATAGTGTAGTTTTAAGTTCTTTAGCTTAAGCTTCTTTCTTCTTTCTTTAATAAAGTTAAATACTATTATATTATGTTTCTTAGACTTAAAGTATAACTGTTTTAGTAGTAATAAATTAATCTGCCTTTAGCTTACTTACTTTACAGCTCTTTTATTCTAAAAATTCTAGAATGTTTTGCTAGACTTAAACTCTGCTTTTTTCTTACTAGTATAGGTTATTTTAGGCTAGAATGTTTGTTTCTTCTATATAATAGATTTTCTTAGGTTAAAATAACTCTTTTCTTAACTCTAGTAAGCTATTCTATGCTAGAATAGCCTTACTTAGTCTAACTAAAGAATCTTAGGTTTAAATAGGCTATGTTATCTTTCTATTTTTATAGCGCTATTAAACACCTCTTGTTAAAAAAACCTTAAGTAAAGAAAAAATAAAGTAAAGGTAGCTATACTTAATTTATTAAGTTACTTCTTTTTTTTTAAAAAGTTTAACCTAAACTAGTATAATTTAATTTTTTGTTATGTATTCTTTTACTTTTTTAGAATGCTTTTAATGTGTTTAAGCTAATATTAGGTCTAAGTTTCTATAAGTTTTTCTTAAATAAATAACTTTTTTATTTTATAAGATATTTTTATACTCTAACTAGATTCTGTCTTTAGTTAAGTATTTTTTTTATATAGTACACATTATCCCCTATAGCGTGTAGAGTGTCTATAATTAGTTTTAATTATAACTTAAGACGCCCTTTCTAGGTATATAGCTCTAAGAGTAAGACATAGAACACTAGATAAACTTCTTCTAAATTAAGTAAGTTTACTTTATACACCTCTGCGCTAATCTAGGCTATAACTTTTTCTAGTCTTAAAAACTTCTAGTCTAACTTTTTCTTTAGCCTTATTAATTTTATATGTCTATTAAAGACTAATACCTTATTTTCTACTTACAGCTATATATGCTTTTATTATTTGTTTATATACTTTTTTTAATACACATTTGCAGCAATAATTTTTTAGTAGTATTCTAACTATAAAGCAAGTGCTTTAGCAGCAACTTTATTTACTATGTGTGATTCCCCCTAACCTAGGGGTTCTCTAGGCTAATCTAGCCCTCTTAGGTTTGCTCTATAGTATGCTTAGAAAGGAGTAACTTCTGTAGTTACGTGTACGCTATTATTATACGCAAACTTTGCTATTAGTAACTATATTGCCTAATTATCTTATTCTAGGCAATAGTAATATCTAAAGTACTATTCTAAGGTTTAGTTTTATCTTTTAGTCTGCTTATTTATCTTAGGATAGTAAGCTAACAAGAGAATCTTTTATGTGCTAAAATAGTAATAAAAACTATTTTAGTACTTTAAGTTTATTATTAGCCTTTAATTAAAAATAATGTTCTTTAAAACTTTATAAAGGTAAATAACTTTTTTTAACTAAACTTTTGCTAGGTCTAAAGCCTTCTAATTAGCTCTAGCTAGCATATAGTAAGCTATCTTAGTAAGACAGTCTACTATTATAAAAATTACATTATATACTAACCCTAAGTATTTATAAGGGGGCAGCTGTGTTATAAAATCTATTATAACATCCTACTAGAGCCTATTAGGTAGTGGCAAAGGGTAAAGGAGCCTATATAGGCAGTATTATAGAGCTACTAATTGTCTGCACCTTAAGTAGTTGTTATAGTACGCCTTTACATCTTTTCTAAGCCCTTTTTAATTATATTAATGTATAATCTTTTTAAGCGTCTTTTTTACACTAAAGTAGCCTGCTAATAGGCTGTTGTAGCACTTCTAGAACACTTCTGCCTTTTTTTAGTCTGTTATTAGGGTCTTTCTTTTTATATTAGCTATAGCATGTTGTTTTAGCCTATTTTAAAGATAAGTGTTTTTATTAAGGTTCTTTTTATTTTTTATTTTACTTTTAGTGTTTAATAAGTCTGTTTTATTATAGTCTTTTTTAATACTTAATATAAAGTCTTTATTATTATTTTTTTCTAGTTCTTTGCTTATAGCTCTTTTAAGATCTAGCTATTTTAGCTCTTATTCTCTTTTAAAGTAGTCTTTAGCTAAGCCTAAAAAATCTTAAGAATGTATAATAGCTATAACTATTAATTTCTTATTATAATCTTATTAATTTAAAAAGTTATGTATGTTTATTACATACACTACATTTTTTTTTTAAGAAGGCTATTATAACTCTTTAATGTAGTTAGGTTTTCTTAAGGGTCTATCTGCTAGGTTTAGCTTCTCTAGACAGTGTGTAATAATAAAATTATATTCTGTTATCTTTTTATAAGCTTAGACTTGCTAGTAGTTTAAAGTTTTAGTTTTTATAAACTAGCAAAAATTATTATAGTTTATAAAAAGTTTAAATAGTAAACCTTAAAAGTAATATTACTAATATGCTAAACTTTTATTAATAGTAAGTAACTCTTTATTATAAGTATTATAATTATACTTAGCTTTACTTATCTTTTTTAAAAAAAAGCTAATTAGCCTTTATTAAGCCCCTTTAGTCTTATCTAAAACTAATTAGCTTAAAATGCTATAAATTACACCTTTTAAGGTGTTAACCTTTACTTTAGTTTTTTATTAGCATTAAAATAAGCTAATATAAAAACTTTAAGAAATAAGTTTTAAAGCTTTTAAAAAGCTGCTTTACTTTTAAAACTAATATTAAGCTTCTAACTTTCTTTTTGCTTTTACTTTTAACTACTTTTTACTATGTCTAGGCCCTTCTAGGTTAGCTTAGTAAAGGGTAAAGTAATTAAAAAGAAGTTAGTAATAAACTGCTTATAGTAGTTTATAAACCTTATAAAAACATAAATATTCTAAACAGTCTTTAGCATTAGCTACTTCTAGATTATTTTAATTCTTAAAAAGTTAACTTTAACTTCTTCTAGGCAAACTATATACCTTAAGTACTTAGTTTTTTATGTGTAAAATTTACACTTACTAAGTTTTAAAAAAAGCTTTACTTTATGTAATTTTTATAGCACTTTTTTAATGTAAATAACTTGTTTCTTTTCTGTGTTAGAATAGACTAGAATATTATTAAAGTACATAATACACGTCACATTAACTAACCCTGCTAGGGCCTAGTTAATATAAGCCTAGAAAGCTACAGGAGCATTAGTAAAACTAAAAGGCATAACTTAGTACTTAAAATAACTATATTAAGTCTAAAATGCTATTTTTTACTTATCTCCCTTGCAAATATGTAACATATAGTACATATTATAGATATCTAGCTTTATATACTACTTTACCTTCCTAAGTCTTTTAAAAGATTCTAAGATAAGCAGTAGTAAGTAATAATTTTTTATTATAATTTAGTTTAGGCCTTTATAATTTATATAAAGCTTTAACCTTTTATTTTTTTTTATAAATAGGATTAAAGCTTTTATAAAAGACTTAAACTTCTAAATTTACTCTTTTTATAAATAATTATTAATATATTTATAAAAATGCTGTAACTTATACTTTAATAAGTTATATAGTAGTTAGTAAAAAGGCTTTATCCTTTTCTCTAGCTTAATAGCTAGATCTTGTAGGCTATATAGTAGTACTTCTAACATCTTGTTAGACTTAACTATGTCTGTATATTTTTTATACTCTAGTCTTAACTTAAGCTTTATAGGTCTTAAAGAATCTTTAGTGTTATTAGACAGCACACTGCAGATGTAGACATCTGTATTAGGACTTTATATAGTTTACTTAAACTCTACTGCGTCTTCTAAGGCCACCTTAGCGTACTTTAGCACACTATAGTCTTTTACGCCTTTAAATAATATATATCTTATATAAAAGTTTAGCTTTAGATTAAACTAATTAATTTAAAGTAAACTTAAATATATTAAGAGTCCTTTTAGGTCTGTTACTATAAACAGCACTTTATAAGTCTAGACTTTTTCTTAAAAGTCTATAATTTTTATATTTACAACTATAAAGCTATAAACAGTAAAGTCTAATTTATTAAGTGCTTTTAAAAAGACACCTAGTAGGGGCTTAATCTTAAGATCCTGCTTCTTAGCTATTATAGTAGACAGAATGTTTAATTTAGCTTTTTTATTTACTATAGCCTAAAGGTCTTCTAATAATCTTATGCTTACTATTACTAATAATAAAGTTAACTTTTTTAGGTATAATAAGTCTTAAAAGTTTTTAAGCTTCTTTTTATTACTTACTAAAGTAATATAAGCTAAAAGAAAAAAGCTTAGTTTTTCTAGCTTTACTTTTTTTTTTTTTACTTATTTTTATTAAACTTATCTTTGTCTTTATCTTTTATAAGATAATTTAGAGAAATATAACTTAGCTGCTTATAATTTTAGTAAGTAACTTTTATTTTATTAAATTTTTACTTTTTTTAGCTTTTTTTTAGCTTAGAGGCTTTTTTTATTTTTTTTTAGGCTTTTTTAGGTTCTTATTAGCTAGAGGTAAAGTAAAACACTTTTATGTTCTTTTTTTTTTTAACTTTAGCCCTTTTCCCTTCTGCAGGCAGTAGTAAGATATGTTGCTTTGCTTTTTTACCTAAGCTAGCGTCTCTTGCTTACTTTGTAAGATATATGTTAGATTATGCTTAATCTTATTAGATAGTGCGCTACTAAAGTCTACTATTATTTTATCTAGGCTCTTTTTATTAACTTTAGTCTATAATAGCCTAAAGTAGGCTAGAAGTTTAGTTAAAGACTAATTAAGTTATTATTTATAGTTCTTTATAGTATTATAAGCTACCTTTTTTTATTCTACTAAGGTACTTAATGTATTAAGCATCTTATTTTTAAGATCTTACTATGTTAGTAACTATAATAAGTTAATAAGCTTTAAATAAGTGTAGTATGTTTTTTATAGTAATTATAGTGTCTTATTAATATATTATAAGCTAAAGAAGATCTTTTGTAATTCTTAAGTAAAGCTTAATAAACTTTTTTAATAATAGTCTTTATTATCCTTACACTACTAGTTATAGTCTGCCCTGTTCTTTTTTTTGTATTAGTGCAGCAGTTTAGAACACAGTAGGTTTACTTAGTTTTAAGTAAGTTTTAGTATAATAATATTTAATACTTTAGTTAGCAACTTATTAAGTGTGTTTATATTACCTGCCTTAAATTAATAATAGATTTTTATTATCCTAGCTAGTTCTTACGCTTCCTGCTGCTCTTGCAGCTAGGCGTAGGCTTCTGCTAAAGCCTAATTCGTGGGGGTAGACTGTGTGTTGCTTAGCCCTGCACTAGCCCTTCTAACCCCTTCTAGGCCTTAAACGCCTTCTAGATAGCTTAACAAGCCTAATTTATAAAAATTTTTATTATCCCCTTTACTTATCTTTTGCTTTATTCCTTCTTGTGTTAGTGTTAACCTTAGTTAAGTATTACTAAGAGTAGTAGTTTTAGCTAGCTTTTTAGGTAATTTTTAAGCGCTAGTTACATCTAATTCTCCCCTAGCGTTTTACTTTAACACTATTATATAGGAATGTTGCCCTTAAGCAGTATGCTAGCTTGTAGAGCAATTTAAATGTAAAGATAGAATAGTAAATAGCATAGATAGCACTAAAAGTAAGCTTTTAAAGAAAGATAGAAGTGTATTGTAAGAGAGACAAATTGCTGCTAAGCTTCACTTGTCAGAATTCATGCTTATATACGAAGCACAGGTCATACGACCTCCAAACAGGTCAGGTGAGGCCATACTGGCCCGTTCTGGGACATCCGGCCTTACAAGTGGATTCCTACCGCATTCAGACCCATTGTCTTGCCTGCGCCGTTACAAATACTCTAGCATTATAGTAGATGTTACTATAGTCTAGCGTGTCTATTATAGAGTTATAGCAGTCTAGTACCCCTTTGCTAGGTTTAGAGTGCGTGTCTAGGTTGTTAGGGCAATAGCCTCTCTCCTCTCTAGAGTATTTATGTTTAGGTATAATGCATCCTTCTATAAGACAGTCCCTACTCTCTATTCTTCTATAGTGCAGGACCTGCTTGTTCTGTTAGTTTACCTTTTATTAAAAGTAATAAAATATGCATTTTTATTATTATTATTAGTAGTTAATCTAGAAGAGTTTCTAGTGCGCAGGCGCGTTTTTATAGTAAGGACATTATAGATTCTTACATGTAGTGGCCTATCCTGTTAGGAAGTTAGTGTCCTCCTGTTAGGGTGTGCTGTTGTAGGGCTACTACCTTACTAAATGTTTTATAGTCTAGTGTTTAGCGCAGTAGCTATTAGTGCATAAGTGCTATTGCTCACGGATCTTTTCAATATCACATACTGTTTGCCGGCAGAATATGCATATCATAAGCTGATCGACCTACCCACCCCACCACAGCCTTCCCTCCCAATCCAACCCCTCCTCTACTTCCTCAGCCCCTCATAAACCGCCTTCTCGACTCCAAACCATGCCGAAATAATCTTACCATCACCGAACGGCAGCACCTGTCCCGCAACAATCCCCGCAACTCCCTTCTCGCGATCCACCCACCAAAACAGATTTGCAATGCCAGCCCACCAGCCCGTGTTAGCCGCGCGCCCTGTCATGCCGGGGGCGATGGTTAGGAACATGGATAGACCCCAACCTTGAGGTGGGTTGCCTTCTTGTGGGTACATTTCTGGCGCGTAGTTGGCGAGGGTAGGGTCTGCTGGGGGAGGGCCGTTGCGGGCGAAGTCGGGCCTGGTGAGGGTTAATTGGAGGGAGGGTGAGGGCAGCGGGGGCGCGAAGATAGTGAGGGTTAGGGTAAAGGGGTGGGTGTGGATAAGGACGATAATGAGGGCAGTCGGGACTAGTTGGACTAAGAATGCAGCAGAGACTAGACTTAACTGGTTTGGAATCTGGTTCTCCCACATTAGATCGACGGTTTCCTTCTTGAGGATCGTCCTGCCTGTTGTAGGCGACGTGCCGTTGTTACACAACGTGGCTAGAATCTCTGCAACATACACAGTCAACCATCACGTCAATATCGTAATAGCCTTCGTCTCTCCCCCTATTCCTCATGGTCTGAAAAAGGCCTTCCCGTGCATGCCCAGGAGTAAGGGGAAACAAGATCCCGTGACTTACTAACATACTCATTCGGCCTAGCAAACAGTCCCGCACCCGCTGAATTAAAGATCCTATCCTGCTCCTCTTTCGTCTGGGCCCTCAAAACGCGGCGATAGAGATGGTTCCTCTCACTCACGTTTCCCTCTGCGTCTCTCTGGTGTGAAGCCGCCATATTTTTCTGCTCTTCCTTGGTTGGAAACATGGTCATCCCTGTGATGCCCAGCGGTTCAAAAATATGTTTTTCCATATAGGCGCCGAGTTTGAGGCCCGTGACGCGTTCGAGGATTATGCCAGCCCAGTCGATGTTAATCTAGAGTGTTGGTTAGTGGGGAGGTAATTTAGGTGGGGTTTTACCATTGTCATCAAAAGGGATGAGGTTGGGAGAACTTACACCATACTCCCACATGCTGCCCGGCTGATTCACCATGGGGCTTTCGAGGATATCCTCCACATCGCCGTGGAACTCCTCAATCCCAATAGGCCGCCCTTGCATGTTCACTCTTGGATCCCAGAACGAATACCCAAAACCCGCTGTATGCGACAACAACATCCTCATCGTGACCCCCTTCTCCTGTTCCATCGGTGTCACTCCGTCCGCATAAACCTTCTTCTTGCTAATCTCGGGCGCGTATTTCTTTACGAACTCGGAGTCGTCGAGCGGCATTTTGCCCTCCTCGTAGAGCTGCATGCATGCGATAGTTGCCACGATCTTGGTCATCGAAGCGATCCAGAACATAGTTTCCATGTCCATTGGCTCTTTAGAATTCAAGGATCGTGTACCAGATGCATGTTCAACAAGCGTCTTGCCGTTTCTGTCGACGGCGATGAACACGAGACCTGGGACACCAGTTTTGGACTCAGCAGTGACGCCATCGAGGATGGATTTGACCGTCTGCACCGATTCCGCAGATAGGGACATTGCGAACACTGGGAATGGGATTGGTAAGATAGAATGATAAAGTAAGGTATGACATGGGCGGGGGTCTTATACCGAGAGTTTGTGCGTCACTGACTCGACCTTGCCTACAAAGTTTCAAGTTCCGATTTAAGACAATGGGCCTGGCTCTCTTGTGGCACCAAAGCCCACTTGCAGTTTCTTAGCCTTGCGGTGTTAGGTAAAACTGCTAACTTTGACGTATGAATTGGACAGCCTAGAAGTGCTACTCGGAAGCGGTTAGCCCCATCATAGTAGAGTAAAACGGGACTGCAACTGGAACTAATAATGGCTAGTCTGACATGGAACTATCTTGATGCTACTGAAGATTGAATGCTGGAAGGGGCTCGCAGACGTCTTAGGAGAGAGATATTAGCATGTTGATACCCCGCTGCGGGGCAGCGAGAGCTTGGATGATTGCCGGATGTGGACCTCCAGATGCACCCAAAGTAAGACGGCACATTGCATTTGCACTATCGAGTCCTCGGTTTGTAACTGCACGGCTGACCTAATTCGTTTCCAGTACAAGATTTACAATCAATTCCCCTTGTGCCGAGCTGTCATTCGCAAAGATGGCGTGCTGTCACAAAGCGAAACATGGCATAGTCTGATTTAGGGCAGAAGTCAGCATCCTCTTAGCTTCCTCCTGACCTCTAACAAAGGTTTAATAGATCAAAATGGCTCTGTTAATTTTCCGTAGCAATCGCGGACATACTGTAGACTGCATCTGTCGCGCATCGGAGGATATCTCGGGGCCTTTTATTCCTTGCTGATGAATTGAACGCATGGTGGGCGTTATAGGTCATCCTCTTCTTCGGGCCGATAGACTCTTTACCTCTTTCAATGCAGCCATAACGAGTGGCACGGCTACGGGGCCGAGTAGGGGTAGATATACGGCAACTTTGTGTTCATCCGGGAAATACACCTGTCCAACCATGGAGCGCTCGAAAAATGCCTTTTCTGCTTCGGCTTCGGCAATCCTCGCATGTTCAAGCGCGCCTTGAAACCGTCCCTCTCGAAGATTGTTGCAGGCTTGTTGGAGATGATCGGTGGTGAGATGTACTGATATTGCAACCTTGTCTGGAATTGGGATTGAGGGGAGGGCTCGCGTCAGTCGGGCGAGAGCGCCTAAAGTCGAGGAGGCTGAAAACAGTAGCGATGCGGCGCGAACTCGTTTGAGGGTTGATAAACGTAGCGGGAGGGAGTGGGGAGTCTGCGGGAGCCCAAGTAACGACAAGAGCTGGTTCGAAAACGTATGCATGGCAGGTGCCAGAGCATCCGTTGTCAATGTCGTCAGAATAGTGGGAGAGTTGGTGGAAAGGGCTGGATTGAGGATGAGGACACCACCCCATTGTGGAATCAGCCAACTATTTCCTCCGTTCTCCTTCACGAGCAGCGGTGATTGGCTCGGGTCGGGGACGTAGAGGACAAAGTTCACAGTCGGACCGATGCCGATGCTGGGGCTCAACGGCCATTCAGCGGCATTGATGAATCCACTCAAGTCTTCCTTCCTCAGGGTCCAAGCTTTGAGGGTGTCATCATACTCGGGCTGGCGGATGGAAGGAGAGAATCCGGCATAGAGCTGTACTTGGGTGTCGACAGTGAAATTGTTGATGGCCGCGAACGACTCGAGCAAGGGGGAGAGATATTGCCGGAGCGCTGATTCGATTTCCCAGGCTGAGGGCACAGAGGTAGGGCTAAACAAGGAGAAAGTTAGATGGTAGGTTGGTGCATACTTCAATGCTCGAGTGGACTGGCGCTCGAGATCGGCGGTTGTGTCGGGCGATAAGGACTTGATCTTGGCAGTGTGGGCGCCAGACGTGGTTGAGAGAAGGTAGGCAAGGAGTGCCTGCTCCTCGGCAAACATCTTGTGTAGCTCATTGGCAATGAATGTGGCAAGGGGAGAGGACGTGGACGACGGCGGAGGGAGCTGATTCGCTGTGTAGTAGACGTCGAGGGTTGGGGAGTACTGCTGCAGATGCGAGCGAGGGGTAGTGCCAGTTTCTACCGGCACCAGCCTTATTGACAATGCGATGTCCTCGTCCTTAGCGGAAATACGCATGCCGTCGCTCACAACCTGCTGGGATATGTTCGCCGTCCAAGGAGAGTCGGCAAGCATGAGGCGGAGATGGTGGGCCGAGAACTCGTTTAGGTCGTCAAGGGCGTGTTGCGTCGTGCGAATGAGATGTTGAGCATCTACGGAAAGGAGTGCGGGAGCTTCTACAGCAATGCGGAGGGGGAAAACAGGTTTGCAGATCTGATGGTTGTTAACAGGGCAACTTTGGTGGCCGCGATTGCGAATCCATACCTTCCCATCAGCCCAATCCGTCATGGTCTGCAATGGCAAGTCTGCGCGGTAGATGGCTGTCGTCTTCCACCATACTGGAAGCCCCAGGAACAGCACCACGGCCCAAAAGGAGGATATAACGGCGCGTCTCATCCACACGCTTTCCTGCGTCTCCGGGGGCGGCTGACGCGGCGCGGGAACCGCGATTGGAGGTGGTCCAGAAGGGTTCGAGGCATCTGGGTTCGGGTCTTGGGTTGAAGGCGCGTTAGCATCTTGTAGGGGTGGCATCTTGCAATGAGGTTGATGTGGTGGTTTAGACAACTTTTGGACCTTCCGTTTCTTGGCACCAGCACATCCCTGTCAGCGATTCACAGCCGCCCTTACTCAGGAAAATTTAAATTATATCCCCTACCAGCTTACTGAAATAAAGTGAAGACCATTGACGGTACCAGTAAGCTAAACACCAGAGAAGTAACGCAAAGGAGGGCCGCGGGCCAGATATCGGCCGGTAACTCACGGAAAGAGTGGACATGTCCCTTTTTGGAAGCCTCTCCTAACAGTTCAGCCGTCCTGTTGTTCGATTGCTAGACAAAGTATCACTTGTATCCTAGCTCGTTTAATTGTTGATCTCTCAACCTTCTTCCATGATCCAGTCGCCTTCCAATGTTACACATTAGGTCCTCATTCGCATGGCGGGATTTCCAGGCACAGAAACTGGCCTAACATAGGCATACCAACTTGCTCGGGTGTATTTAGCCTACCTCGTCTACAATGACACGCATACGCGTGAAATAACAGAACAACATGCTCTATCTATCCTGTGCTTTGAGTGAGGGCTTGTCGTGGTCGTCGAATTCCTTCTTCAACAGCTTATCCTTTCCTATATCTTTGGCTCATATCTGTTCTAGTCAAAGTCTCTTTCCCACATCATTATAGGTGTGAGCTCCATAGCATACACCTACACCTTCTACCCGCCTATACTGTTCAGATGAATCCGCCAGACCGTCGCCATGGACAACCTCATCTCGTTCACCGTCTTCACTACATGAGACGCATTAACCTCCCAAACTTCTCTCCACACCCCTCATCTCCTGCACCAGGAGACAAGTTTATGGCACCGGCTCGCTTTTCATGGAGCAACAATCCCTGGCAGCTCGCACTCGTAGCTATGCTCTGTGTTCACTTCGGGATGTCGTTATTCATCGCTATATACATCTTACGCTCTTCTCCGCACCGACTACTGCGGCCTATAGCACCTCTTTGGCCGACAGCCATGCTCCTTACAATCCTCGCAACGGCAAATCATTGGGTCTTAGATGCCGTTGTTGGGGATGGAGCTGGTGTTTGGAAGTGAACCTGTGAGAATTGTCGAGGGGTGGGGGTTCTGGCTGGGCAAGGACGGAGAAACCTAATGTACAGAAGTACGAGAGTGTTGCGCTTGCAGAGAGAGTGGTGAAGAAGGAGAAGTGGAGGATGCGTGGATGGCATGATGGCGCTCGGGACCGATTCCCACGTGGCTAGACAGCTGTTATTTCCTAAAGCTAGATATATCTACACTCGCCGCTGCAATTATTTAGTCTGAACCTTCAACAGGTATTTTCTGCAAGCTCCTTGCGCCAACATCAGACTATCTACGCGCGCGCGTAACCATGCGCCTTGCAAGTTATCAAAACTGAAACCAATCAGGACTCGAATATCCGTGCTCCCGCATTGGACACGTGAAGCCGGCTCGATCCATCATCGAATCACAATCACGTCGCACCTCCAAACTCGGTTCCAGATCTGATCAGCTGCATTGCAATGCACTGAGATCCCAGCCACGCTCGATTTCGTGTCACTTGGGGTTGAGTTGTCACTATACTGATCCTACCCATTACCAGCAGTTCTCCATAATCCAGCACCCAACACGTTTGTTCGCACGAGAGTCAGTAAGCAAGAGAGTCTTTTCAACTCCATCCCGCTAGCGCTAACAAGAGGTGGTGGCGTACGAGTGGGATGGAATACGACACGCTGCGTGGTTCAGAAGCGCACGCATCCGGCACCTCGCGTCGCAGCCCCAGCGGCAGGACCCTGTTCCGTCACGCATGAAGCACCCGCACGCCTGGATTGTGAATTGTCCCCCATATATTTCCGTTCCTGCCATGTCGACGCCTGATTTTCTCGTGCCCTCTTCGTCCGTCTCACAGCTTCATCGTCTTCCGCTCTTTTATTTCTTCTTGGTGCTGGCTCACTGCTCTTGGCATATCCCTACACGCATACATAATAACCTCTGGAGATCTTTCCCTCCTCACCCCAGACTCCTAATAATACTACCACGATGAGCAACCCACTCCGAACCCGTCTCACCCTCCTCCTCCTTGCCCTCTTCTCGACCCTCATATTCGCCGAAAAACATGCTGCCGCTGTGCTCGCCGTCCGCCAAGCCGCTGCACCACCAGTCGACCAATGTCTCGACTACTCCCGCACAGCGAACCTCTCTGTCATTGGCACAAACAGCACCTACCGAGCTACCTACCTGCAAGAATCCAACATGGGCACCCTGGCCAACCAAAAGATGTTCAATGCTGCGCAAGCCAAGTTACCAAAGCTAACAGCCGATGCTGCGCTCAACCAGGCATGCGGGAATCTGACAACGGTTGCGTTAACGGAGGCCGAAAAGAATTTCAGTTCGAAGATTGTGGGTCCGTTTCGGGAAGTTAAGCTGGATGCTCAGAAGATCGATGCTGGGCCGCTAGTCGTAGTGATCTGTGGGTTGATTGTGCTGGGTGTGTCACTTGTTTGGGGGATTATGCCGTAAGGTGTGATGGGATGAGGGAGAATTATTGGAGGCTTGGGGTTTGGGGCGGGTGGTGAAGATCAGATGAAGGCTGTGAGTTGTAGAAGGTGTCAGGAGCAAGAGATCTGATCACTACTCGAAGTCGCGATTTCTTTTCTACTATGCTATTTACGGGTTAAGCAATTATATCACCGGAGCTGTCATATCGATGGAATTGGAATGGAGTAGGTTCATTGGATCAAATGGAATGGTTCGAGTGGCTACATATTTTCCTCTCAACCCAGCCTATAGGCAAGGACATGAAATAAACTAAAGTCATTTACACACCGTCCCATGTCCTCTCTGTCGGCGCTTTCATGGCTAAATGAAGAGGAGCCTGGAGAAGACCTCACCCTCCCGATTATAATCATCACAACAACTGCCAATCTCTAACCATTGATTTTCTCTCCGAACCAAAACGTACCCAAATCCTCACCATTATCTGGGAAAGGTCACTTGAGTTCTCTTTTCCCGTTCCCGCTCATGCATTGCATCAATTAGTTTCTGATCCGTTGCGGAAAAGCAATTGATATATGTAACCATCGTTACTATTTTTTCTCTCCTCTCTCCACGGCGCCCGTATGAGCAGTCGACGTTGGCGAGGCTAAAATGTCTCATACATACGACTTGGGAGGTTGAGGTTCATTCTAAGGGACATGTTGAATCTAGTATAAGTTTTTTGGGTGAGGAGAAAAGACTTTGAACCAGATAGATTCGATGGTGGAGAAGGGGAAGCGAAGGACAGGTTGGCTTGGGATTGACCAATTGTCTATCATGGCTGTATTTAGCATCAGAATATGGAGGAGCGTCTAGGAATTTGGTTGCCAGTCTTGAATATAAAAAGGGGTGAGATATATACAGATGTTTCCGAGCATGGAGTTATTCTGGCTACCTTTCCATCCAGCTCCCCATCTGCTCCTATGTAAGTATTCTATGGATCTGCAGGTCAGACAGTATATTACCTTTACTACGGTACCTAAAATCACAAGATCGAGACCATTCCCACGCTATCCTTCAACCCACCTTCATATCCCCCTTATTCCAGTACTCAAGAACTTTGGCAACTCTTTCACAACCTCGATAAACTGATTCCTCCCTTCGGAGGCGGGTCCTCCTCATCTTCATGTTGATCTCTCGGTCCATCCGTGTCGACCAGTTCTCAGTCCGAGATTTGCGGCGACGATGGGGCAACCAGCAGGGAATTCGTGGCATTGCAGGAGGTTACTGTACGTTGGTCTGGTGCAGCGAGGTCTGTGAGCGGGAATTGAATGTGGTAGGCGTCGGCGACCCGTCTGCCAGTTGTGTAGATGGGGTTTGTGTAGTCAGCGTCTGTGAATGCTAGACCTTCTATAGGGAGGTTGTTAGTTCATGGGTTGGCGGAAAGAGGTGTAGATGTTTTATTCGTTTATGCTTATCTACCTACCTTTTCCCCAGCTGAATTCTCTGAGAATATCTGCGGTTACAGTGTGGTTCCCGCGGACTACTTCTCGGCAGTGACCCAGTCTTCCATCACCATGTGTGATATCATACTCTCACACTGTCTCCTACAAAGCGCGGGTCATCCCACTTTCCCATCCCACAGTGTTGAGGATTGGTTCACTGATGTTCTTGAAATCCACGGTTGCGCACTTGGTTACTGTCTTACCGGCTAGAGTTACCAGGACAGGTGTCCCCACGCTTTGTAGCCTGTAGTTGTGGCTTTGGTGGCATATTACGCTCCTGGGATGCTCTTAGCTCTCTTAAGGTGGTCCATCTTAAGCTAAGTAACCATTTCGACGCTATCGTGGGTGATTTGTGTGAGTTTCCGGGAGGAAAGATTTTGGAGCCACTATCAACTCTGCCCAGGTACGTTGCTGTTGGCGGCGTTAAGGAAAAGAGGAGGAGTAAGAGCATTGGTACAGGGGTGTTTGTTGGGAGGATATATATATATATATATATATGTATGAGAGAGGCGAACGCTCACCGTTAATACTGTGAATACGGATTGTACTGCTACTACTGACTCTTCCATGACTTTAACACAAGTACTACAAACTTCTGTTGCTGCCCTTCACGCTCGCCAAATAAGGCTCCGCGATACTCATTCCTGCGAACATGGTCCTGCACAGCCCACTAGCATGACCATATCAAAATGCAGATACCGTCTCTATTCCAGCTCAGGCTTCAGACCTCGCTACTACATATATCTATTAAGTCTACTCAAATCCTACCATGTCGAACTAGACTGGTGCAGTCGCGTTCAAGATATATGAGCAGCTATGGTTGGTGTAACCAGGCCAAGCCACTATCTACTAGTGCTTGTACCTCTCGTGGCTCCCCTAAAGGCTCCACATCAATACACTCTTCCGCTGCACTACCACCCAGGCTTACATTTGCACTAGCCAATTCGCTTTGGGAGCATCCTCTTATGGTGAAAAGGAAGCTAGACCGAGGCAAGCGGTTGAGCAAGTTAGGCTCATAGCTGTTGAGAAGCACAACGTTACGAGGCGTGTATTGGGCATTATCAGGCTAGCTTGAAGGATATGAGATCACTCTTGATGATGTAGAGTGCTCCTCTCATTTTTTTTTCGTTGTGCGATCTCTTAAGATGACATGAGCGACCTTCTACCTCCCTTTTGATTCCCATTGATCCCTCTCCTATCATCGATTAATGGCGATTTTCTATTGCCGGCTTTTCCTCGTAGATCGCGATGATTTAGCACTATTATCCCACTTGATAGGCTGCGCTGTCGGCCCAGAGCACAAAAATCACGGTGGAGATGCTTAAAATGCCGAAGCGGCCGTTTTTCAACCTGCGGTGAATATCCATGGTGGCTGTCTCTTTCTACACTCAAGTGGAGACCCACAGGAGGTCCATAAGATGAAAGAATCAATGATCTCAGCATTGCTGGTCCCTTCTGAGAAGGTCTCCGCCATGCAAGGTAACGTGAAAGCCACACACATGACTACGCTAGTGCCATGAGTGGAGGTCCCGTGCACGCGGGGTTGAATCTGGGGTAAGCCTTAGTGCGACCGCCCATCAGCCCACAGCCAGCTGACCTCCTCCATTCTGCACAAACGCACTACAACACCAAGGCCTTCTCGTCACGCTCAAATTCATCTCCCCCCTTTGTCGTTTTCTATCAAACAGCTCAACTAGTCACGATGAGTGCGATTGCTGATACCGCTGATGGTCCGGTTGAGATCATCAAGGTCTTGTTTGCCTTGTTCCCCGGCTACGACACCCTCGATGTCGCGGGACCACTTGAGGTCCTCAGTCGCTCTCTTCACAATCCCAAAGACAAGAGTAAGTTTGCTTCAATTCATTCGCATAGAAGAGCTGCTATACATACCCACTTAAATGAGTTTACCATGTCACTTGCCTCGGCTAACATTCACCCTCGGCAGCCACCAAGGCCTTCGAATGTCAATTCGTTGGTCCGTCCGCAGCTATGACCTCTACCCATGGATTGACTGTCAAGGCCGACATGGACTACGAGGACGCTAATGACGAGATTGAGGACTTTGACGTTATCATCGTCCCCGGCGGTGAAGGGGTCCAGGACGTCCTAAAGAATAAGACCGAGCCCCTCAATCTCCTCAAAGCGTTCGTCGAAATCCAAGAGAAGAACCCGGCCAAGGAGCGCACTATCCTCGCCATCTGCACTGGGTCGCTTCTTCTCGCCCAGCAAGGCCTCCTTGAGGGTCTCGCGGCTACGACCCACCCGGACTACTATACCCGTCTCGAGACCATCTGTCAAGACGCGGCGACACGCGATCTCTCTATGCGTACCGATGTCATGGAGGAACGATACGTAGTGAACAACGCGCGGTTCGACTTGGGTGATAACCCCGACGAGAACCCGTACATCATTAGGAAGCAGCCCGAGGGTGGTGTTAATACTATGCACGCCCGGAGGAAGTCCATTGCCCGCAAGGGTAGCAATGCCTGGCGCGAGTCTCGTCGCCGCGAGTCCATCATTAGGCGTGCTTCCATGCCGTGTGGCGGAATGAGGATCATCACCACTGGCGGTGTCACTGCTGGATTAGACGCCTCTTTGTACCTTGTGGGCTCTCTGGTCTCTCACGACTCAGCCCTCGAGGTTGCTCATAAGATGCAATACACTTGGGTTAAGGGAGTTACGGTCGATGCTATTGATGTTTAAGTGAGTACCCTAGCGACGGCGCAAAAGTCTTTTTGGACAACGATCTGGCGCGGTCGAGTCTGGATGTCAGATAGTATCCGGCGTGATCTATCTCGACTAATGTAAGGTTACAATAAATTCACGGCTGTCTAAGTAAGGAATCGGGATGCGATGAACTCTTCTCTCCTTGTGGGTCTCCATGTGATACCATGAAACACTTCTCCTTAGCTGCTACCAAGCGATGCACTTGCGTACTGCACACTGACAACAGTCCCGATTCCATGGTCAGCAGGCCTTGGTGCGGTTAACGCATAATCCATATGATAATGATCCAGTAGGGCTTTGCCGAAGTCTAAGCTGACGTTAGTATAGCCTTCACGTTAAGCTTCGGGTACGCCCGCGAATAGTGCCTTTAGCTACTATGTAGATCAATGTCATGATAGAGGATATAGATCAGGATTTCACCGTCCTCCAGTCTCGGGAAGCTCATTCAGGAAGCTTCTCGCGTCGCCATCTATCAGTCGACAAATGCATGTATCTTAGATGCATTGCTGCCACTCGTTAAGCACTTATCTCCGTGCGTTATCCAGCGACGGGGAAGGGTATTCGAAATACGATATCATAATGGTAGAGTTGAAGAGGGGCACAAAGTCTGAATTACTGCTCTTCGTATACACTATGTCGATAACGAGAACCGTATGGGCCATGAAAGGCCTCCAGTTCGCAACATAAACCGCACGATTGAGCCAGAAATAGTTATTCCCATCACCTATCGCACCTTATGAGTCGCTCTCTACATGGTTGTGACTTCGTACTTACACATGATAGTTCGATCGAGGTAAGTGAAAATTTACAGGAGAAAAAAGATGTCGCGAAACACGCAAAGGGCGAGGCGACCATTACTAAACTCTCCACGCTGTTTGCAAACCTATGCCCCCCCCCTATCTACGTTGCTTGGAAGGATCATCGGATACTTCTTCGGAAACCCCACGGGGATCTTCCTGCAGTGGTAGCGAATTTAGCTTTGGCAGTCGCATTAATTACAGTTTTCACCATTCAAGCCGCTTTCAATACCTGGCAAGACTGGCTATCGTCCAGAGTGATGGTTCCCATCACGAGGATGTCGCTGGATCAGAGTATTATCGTACGAGATGGTGTTCAGAACGGTATAACGGCGATGGACATGGTTCCTGGCGATGTTATTGTCATCAAACAAGGGATAGGCCTCCTGCTGACGTTCGGTTCGCAGAAGCGCCGAGGGTTGCTATGTTTGATCGGTTAATATTGACAGGTACGTTAGCAATATCACGTCATCCCCGCACATATAAAGTGCATACTGACATTCCATCCCATTTAGGTGAACCCGAGCCCGTTGCAGCGAATGTGGACTCCTCCTCAGGAAACTACCTTGAGGCTAGTAATATTAGATTAGACTCCGAGGCACATACTACATCTCAGGAAGCTGCCTGGGTGTTTGCGTCGCTGCTGTTTATACCACAGTCTTCGGACGCGTCGCAAAACTGACCAGTGAGCCCAAAACTGGGATGACTACTCAACAAAAGGACATTCTACGCTTTGCCCTCCTCATCTCACTCTTCGTTGTCTGTGTGGAAGTGTTAGTGGTGGTCATTCTTTGGTAAGAATCCGTCGCTGTGAAGTCAATAAGATCCAGCAGCTGGCCCTGCAGGCTGTGTAGTTACGCAAAGACCACCGCGGACTGGATCAACGTGCCCCTCTTGATCGTGGACTGTGTCAGTGTCACATTAGCGTTCATTCCTGGGAGTCTCTCATAACATTAACTACGAGCCTAACGATCGTGGCGAACATCATGAGGAAGACCAAGATACTGTGCAAATCTCTCAAGTCTGTGGGGACTCGTGGAGCAGTCTCCGTCATTTGCTCAGATAAGACTGGCACCCTAACTAAAGCCTGTTGTAAATACCAGATAATATTCCTTCCTCACTAACAGTCTAGCCGAGCAAGATGGCTGTAACGGATATCTTCGCCGGAGGAGAAGAATACACTCCCGAGGCTGCCCATGACCTGACGGTTGTCCACTGATCCCATACAATATTGCAACGTTTTCGAAGAAAAGAGAGGATGTCCTGGACCAACTTCGACTTCTCGCCAGTCTCTGCAATTCTGGAGAGTTTGACACGTCGACCCTGCGTATGCCGATTCATGAGTGCAATATCCACGGTGATGCTACCGACTACGCAATCCTTAGTCTCTCTGAAAGTCTTAGATCAGCCGCAGAACTCTCCCGGAGTTAGAGAAAGGTCATCGAGATTGTTTTTAACGGTAAGAACAAGTTCATGGTGCGAATGACGACGTCTAATGCTCGAGTGGCCGCCTCAGTTTCATCCGTGAGTTTTACCTCACGCCACGCACCCACTCATCTGTCCAGAGTCCTGATAACCAAGGGAGCCCCGAGATTCCGCTTCCATGATGTACTTCTTTCCTTCCGGACAAGGGTGGGGCGGTGCCTTTGACTGAGCAAGATACTAAACGCATCAAATAAATCAAGGATTTCTAGTTCCGGCAAGGGAAACGAGTCATCCTACTCGCAAAGGAGAATGTGAGGATGCCCAGTTCACTTCCTCAAGAACGCGAAGTGCTTTTTGCAGCACACTACAACCTTGCTTTTGTCGGCTTCGTTGGCGTCGTCGATCCGCTTCCCGATGAGATCCTCGAAGTCATGACAATTCTACAGGGAGCGTCAATTCGCATCTTCACGGTCACAGGGAACTTTAAGCTTACCGCGCGATTGATCGCCGAATAGCGCGGCATCATCTCCAATTCTGCCATGCTCGATGATGTCAACGCTCTATCCTGCGATGTCAGGCCTGGATTTAGTCCAAGGTCCATTATGCTCAGCGGCCCTGAATGGCTGTCTCTCAACTGGAATCAATAGGACAAATTATGCCAGTACCATGAAATCGCGTTTGCCAGAACCATACCAGAGCAGAAGCCCCGCATTGTCAAATAGTTTCAGGCACAGGGCAACATTGGCATGACTGGAGGTGGGGTCAATGACGCGCCGTCACTGAAGGCTGCTGACATTGGAATTGCGATGGGAAGTGGTTCAGATACTGCGCTTGAAGCTACAGATAGAATGCTTCTCGATTCATTTGCAGCTATCGTCGAAGCGGCGCAATATGGACGATCGGTCTATGGTAACTCCTGCTGCATTCAGGTACATATCAGTTCTAAAATCCGTTGTAGACAACTTGAAGCAAACAATTATCCGTCTTCTTCCTGCCAGAAATTTCAGCGAGGTCTGTAAGTGCTATGTCGTGACCGTCTGATGGCACATTTGTTAACAAGACATTAAAGGCCTGTCGTAACAAACGTTATCTTTAGAACTCCATAAACTCTTTCATCGTTTCTCATAGTATGTCCAATCCTTCAGGGTCAAGGTTCGCTCTCTAGTGGATGTCTAGACCATCATCTAGTTAGTTATAATCGATAAAGACTGTCCGTCTACTGACTCTTTTCACCTGTTTCGCAGACTGTGCGGTTGCCATCCATTTCTCTTGCTCATGAAAAGCCCGAGGCTGGCTTGTTGCCTACGACCGCCACGCAACGCAAAGAGAGACAGGCTCGTAGATCCAAAGCTCATATTACATGCCTACTTTTTCGTTCGTCTCCTAGGATGTCCCATCTCCTTTATCCTTTATCATGGCAGTTTGGTACATGGAGAGATGGGGCGTTCCCTCTAGCTCCATTTGGCTTAAGTATGGTAATCTTGATCCACAATATGATCCAGACTCCGTGACTGTCGTTGCCAATGAGGCTTCTTCAATTTACTTTATCACCCTGGTCATCATGTAAGTTACGTTAGTCCATATTTCTCCACGTATGAGAGAGTATTGAAGATGGTAAACAACGGATCTAGATCACTGTTTAACCTACTCGCCACATGTACCCGCCGTTTGAGCTTATTTCAACAGCCGCCGATTTTCAGCAAGGTTACTAAGAACTTGTTGCTCTTCCCTGCTATAATCTTCACAATCGTGATAGTCTTCATCTGTAGGCGTCTTCTCTCCCATCCCGGCTCTCCCACTGGCTAATACTAATCTAGTCTGTTATGTTCCGGACTTCCAGAAAAGTATCGCAACGACGCAGGTACCGGCTGAGCACTGGCTTCTTCCTGCAGCCCTTGGCTTGGGTCTCCTTGCTCTCAGCGAGGCCAGAAAATACGCAATCAAAGCTTGGCCGAGGGATTATTTGCTAGGGTCGCCTGGTGATTGTCCCTGCCGGCAGTCCTCTCAGCTTCCTGATTGGGCGGACTCGTGTCGACTTCACCTTGGGCAAAAATGCCTGCAAGATGCTGCAGAAGGCCCCAGAGAGAGATAATGTGGGACTTGACAAAGATGCGATGGCCAGAGCCAAACCCGTTCAATTATGTCTATTTTTCAGCAAGGCGAGTCTAGGCGGCGTCAGCCTCATGACGCAAGGTGACCCCATGGTGTGATAGATCCTGTAGGCTCAGCATGGGGGCTCAGCATGGCACAATCAATCTGTGATATTGCCGTTGCATGTGTCACATGGATACGATGTGACAAGGGGGCGCCTTTTGCGGATCTCACCAGCCAGATCGGTTGATCAAGCGGACATAATGCCGAATTCCCGGGGTACCTGGGGTGCATATGTATTGCTCCTTTGCTGCGAGCCAACGGCATACGCCCCATCTTCTGGGGTGGTGATTGGTGTTGAGCACTTTTACCACGCGGCTGATATCGAAGCCTTGGTGTGGAGCCAGCATCGGCGATGCTCCGGATCACACCTGCTGCTCCAGATCGAAGCGTTTAATCCAACCTCTCGCGCTCCCTGACCTTAAAGAAATCTTAACTTAACGAATCACATCTCTTCTGGATAAGGACAATCTCCTCGGAGCCTCACTCCGCTCGACGGAGGAGCGCTCATTGCGGTGAGTGGGGTTTGCTTTTTCCCAGTATGCGCTTCGTCGACCATTTTAAGCGGTGTGGCAATTATCACGAATGAGGCTGCGAACACCTTCAAGATGTGCCCATCTTGCTCCCCCTTGGGATTTAAGCGCATTAGATGCACGGCAGCTTCTCAGAGCTTCTTTCGAGATGCACAGACGGCAGTGTTGCGCTAATAGCAGCCTTTAAGGGCACCTATGTGCCGACACTTGCTGCCTCTCCAGACTTGAAACAATAGAAGGCCAGCCCGATGACCCAACACTATCGACTTCATGTCTCCGTTTGTACTGCATTTCTCGAACGTCCTTTCCCTCTCGTACTTCTATCACTCGCAACGTAGTTCATCCAGTATGGCCCCTCGATCTTTTTAGCACATGGGAGATCCCACATTCTTAAAATTCTGGGGTTGAGAGAGCGAAATCTGCTCACATTTTCTCCATTCATGGGAAACATTGAGCTCATGTCATTGGTAAATGACGTCGACTCAGCCTTGATCAAGTTGAGATCGATCTTGAGCGGGATCGAAGAGAGCATGTACAAGTCTCCGGCAAGTGGCTGCATCATTTGTGCCTCCACGCTCTAATAAGCCAGTTCCAGGAAACGGAGGCGGTCCAGCCCTTGGTATTACCAACGACTTCCACGTTTGACATCGTGTTCAAGGGGTGAGGTACTCTATCCTGTGGCCATTCTCCCAAGTATCTCCGCCTCGTTAACCAGAATTTCTGGTATCTTGCCGCGGATATGCGTTGTGGCGTCTGCATAGATTTTACATGCTTTTTCGCCGAACGCGGACGAGATTTTGAGAGGTTTGAAGAATCTCACGCGCGGTCTCACCACCAGCTCAACACCGCGGGAAGATACGCCACTCCTTTGAAAACCAAGTACCTTTACCAAGCGCAGTATTGATCGCTAGGTGTCTATGCTGTCACGGGACCAATATGGGTACGATATGAGGACCAAACATCCGGATCCCCGACTTCACGTTTGGGGGTAGCGGAAGGAATTCGGCTCCACTTTGTGGCACTCTATCGAACATTTGACTCAACAGTCCAGAATGCGGAGGCCCGCGAATTTCCGAATGCGGAAATGCGATTAATCAAAGTCACGAAGTATTCCTGCCCAATCATTATATAATTTATATTGACCCCATATTTCAGAAAATCTGCGAACAAGTTTCTGCACGCGCGGCAGTTGGCCTTGCCGGTGGCAACTGAGGCCTGCACCGCGTATAACTTATAAGGAACCTACGATACATGTGGGTGTTAGCCCTGCGTCTCCGTTCATTTCTGCCACCTCTACAGTACCTCCCGCTGTCACCACCAAGGTCCCAACATCAACACCACGTTCATTCGTCAAGATGCAGTGGGCCACGCTCGCCGCCGCTGCTCTGCTCGCGCAGAATGTCGCTGCTCAGGGAAATATGCTTCGATTTGCATGCTCACAGTTGGTCGTTGAGCGTACGGATCCCCTCGTCAACCCTGGCATGAAGTTCACGCCGCATCTGCATCAAATCGTCGGAGGAAACTCCTTCAACGTCACTATGGATCCTGCCATGGACATGGCTGCTGCTTCCACCTGCACATCGTGTACTTTCAAGGAGGACACATCGAATTACTGGACCGCTGTGATGTTCTTCCATCACAAGAACGGAAGCTACCATCGTGTTCGACAAGTTGGAAATGGAGGGCCGCAAGGAAAGCTCGTCAACAAGGGTGGTCTCGACGTTTACTATATCCCAAGTGGCAAAGTTACGGCGTTCAAGAAGGTAAGCAAACAGATTAACTGCGAATGAATGCTTTTCTAACTCGACTAGGGCTTCCGTATGCTTGCTGGCTCTGCCACGAACACTGCCGACAGCAAGGTCTCAAAGGGCAATATTTGCCATCGATGCTGGACATCGACTAACGAGGACAATTTCGTTGGTTCAGCGCCTTGCTCTGGCAGCGACACTGTTGCTATTCCCATGGATCCCAAGTGCAAGATGATCCGACAAACCATCATCTTCCCAACGTAAGTTTGGTAGTTTTCAACCTCCGAAGCATAGTCTAATCAGCACATCCAGATGCTGGGATGGCAAGAATCTCGACTCCCCAGACCACGCAAGCCACGTAGCCTACGGTCAAGGATCCGGAGCAACTGGCGGCGGCGCTTGCCCGTCAACGCATCCCACCAAGCTTCCCCAGGTCATGTACGAGCTCATGTGGAACGTCACTGAATTCTCGGACAAGAGCATGTGGCCCACGGATGGCAGCAACCCATTCGTCTACAGCATGAACCTCGGGTATATATGCCTTGAAAGCCTTCGTAGACACTAACTAACAATTCCACAGTGGTGCTGCCGCACACGGTGACTACGTCTTTGGCTGGAAGGACAACTCTCTTCAGCTCGCCATGGACAACAATTGTAACCTCAACAAGGACTGCCCAAAGGCTGGACTACACGCCCAGACAGATGCCCAGTACAGCGCATGCAACAAGAAGCAGCAAGCCGTCGAGGACGTCGAAGGATGTAAGACTCCCTTTTCAACTCTCTATATCCATCCAAACATGGCTAACTCCTCCCCCAGGGCTGAAGGAACTTCCCATGGGCGACAAGGCCATCAAAGCCTAAAGGCGCGCACCTTTGCAGTCATGTAATGGCCTCCGGCTTTTCCTTCCTCGGTACTCGTCCTCCGTCCCCATATTCCCGTTGACTAATCTACTCTCCTCAATCTGGATCAACTCGGGAGTACCAAACACGAACGCAGGGGCTTTTTCTGCAGGTCAGCTGTCTGTCGGTTATCGCTCTGTCGGTCTGTGCGGGTGTGGGGAAGGTCTATAGGAGGAGCCAGCGTGTGCCACTTGCGGCGGTGTAGCCCTTTTTCTTCACACTCGTTCATCCAATTCACGTCCTAACCACTGCATCCTGTACTTTTCCAAAGCGCACGCTTCTTCGTTATATTTCTTCCAGATTGGATGTCGCTAGATAGTCTTGTTATTGAATTCTCCCGCGAGCGAAAATTCTACTAATGATTCCCCGACTCTTTAGTCTCTGTGCTTGTGCTTGTGCTGACCGCTAGCCTCAGATTCGCTTTCAGGCAACTTTTCGCGGTAGCCTTGGTCTTGTGATTCCGTTGTAGATGATCCTGAGGTTTCACGATGAAGATTTCTATGAAGAGGCACTGGTCGTGCTCTATACGGTGGCCATGACATGACCACTTCAATTGACATCGCTCTATCATACAAAAGAGCGTTCTAGTCTATGCAATATGTACTCAAAAGAACAAGACAGAAATTTAACAATCATGAGGTGTACTGTGCTATCACCTAGACATCATGACATCGCTGAGCTTTGATACCTCATCCTCCCCCGATGCTAAAGGAAAAGGCACGCTCATGCTGCGCAGTGTGCGACTATTTCATATTCTTCTGCACGAGATTAGTAAAATCAGCGTTCGCGCCTGACGAAAAGTCGTGTGACCAGTAGTTGTGCACGTCATGAACGACGAAGCCTGAATCCGGCGATCCGGGGTTGGAAGGCTTGGTTGCGGAGTACGCGAACGCGAGGCGGTTGCTGGACTTGGGGTTGAGAACTTGGTATCCGTTAGCGCCTTGGAAAGCCGTGCATCCGGTGCATCGGGCAGTGAATTGCCAGTGCGTGCTGTTTGACTTTGTTCCTGTTTTGAAGATTGTGTAAATAGCATCAGAGTAAGACGTTGGCATAGTGTGGCCGCTGAAAAGCTGTTAGTAACATTGATAGATAGTGAGATGAGAACATTGTAACACTTACGCCGCCCAACGGGAAGAGATAACTGGAGTGTTGCCATTCGCCCAAGTCACAGTGAGAGGGTTCTTGACCATACTGCCTCCCCAAGCCAACCCCGCCCAGCCTACAACCTTGGGAGCAACCACCTGGAGCACGACATCATAGGGAGCGCTATTTGTAGCAGAGGTCGGCACTGCAATCCGATAGGTGATGCTCGCGCCCAGCGAGTATGCAGCACTGAATTGGGAGAAAGTGAAGCCAGTCTCGGCATCATAGAACGCGACAGCACCTTCAGCAACAGCGCTGGTGGATGGTCTTCCCAATGCTGAACCCAACGTTAGCACCATGCTGACTGAAGGTGTTTGATGTTCCACTCACCAGTGCCGATCAAAGCCGCTGCCCATGTAGACCAACGCATCTTGACTGTGGAGCCCTATGGTAGTTTGAGCCGGAAAGCGCAATAAATCGGCGACGTTGAAGACAGGCGTATATGAAAGGCTTGGGAAGGAGGGGTGGAGCAAGACGGAGTCTCTTCCACTTCTTGTGCGCGGCAAGATAAACTTATTAGTACGCCTTCATCCGCCAAGAGGAGCAATCTGTCATTATTCTCCCTATCCCGGGTCGGCAGGAGCGTAGTGGCGACATACAGGGTGAATTGCACCATACACTACCCCTTCCAGGTCATGTCCCGGACCTCGCGTGACTAGATTCGGTCCAAAACCAGGTCGGAAGGTATGAAGGGGGCGATATAAACGGAAGCGCACCAGCTTCGAGAAGGAAGTCGCTGATTGCGTACGAAGCAACTGGACTGTTTGGTGTGGCAGTCTATTCAGGAATCAGACAGGACCCCGGAGCGAAGCGATGCTTTTGGGAACTACAGGGCCGACTGAATTGGAAGCGCGTGGTTGGTTGTGAGAGCACAGTGCCTTTACCCGTATAGTGTTTGGAGTATAGAATAGATGGAGCAATTATTGACGTGGGAATAAATAGCCGGCCCACGAGCGCAGGCCTGACTAGCAACACAATTTCTTTAAGAAACTGTCAGAATCCTAGCTTCTGTAAAGAATGCAACTCGGCGGAAGGTGGAGGTTGAAATTAAGTCAAGCTACCCGACGGTTAGTGCACCACTTAGTTGGGTTGTACTTTTCCAAAGACGCAAGCTGCCCAGCCCTCCGCCCCACGACTGACCGAAGATCTATTTACGATGCTCAATATAGAAATGAAAAACTTGCCTCCACATGCAATCCTCAATCCCCCGCAGAAGGCAAAAGTGGGGCTGACAAATTCCTCGATGCTCATGAGTCTGGGAGATATTTCAACTTGAATTCGTGAAGGCGGGGTCTCATTCCGCAAACCATATTGCTCACACCTGGTGATACAGCACACTTTAGAGCCTTGGGTGTCGTGGGATAGGCCATGTATTCTTCCACAAGATCAAATGTTCCGGAACGATCGTCCTCATCAGATTCAAGAAAAGTACGAACCTGAGCTCTAGCAATTAGAAGGATTGTAAAGTGGTACGTATGACCAAGTTAGTTTGGGCATCTCCATCGACATGTGACGAGAGGATGTCAAGATCCTGGTCCAAGCGGAGCTTCGAGCTAGAGTGTTGCTGTGAAATTCGTATCCTTGCAGGTTAGATATCCATATTCCTGTTCTGGGGGTTCAATCCCGAAGACACGGAATATGTTCGAACGGAATCCAATATAAGGGTGTGAAATGGTCATGGACTGCGTCGCCCACAAGTAGGTATCCCGCATGACCATTGCTGAGGCACTATCTCGCAAGTGTGTGGGGAATCGCCCCTTGTACACGCATAAATACGAAGTTTAGCGAAAAGAATAGCCCGGTGGCGTTTACTCGGCGAGACGAAAGTATTGCGCCGTCAAAGCCGGTCCAGAGAGTTGCAACCACCCATTAACCAATGCCAAATCCTCTTTCTTGTGTCTTTGAAACAAGATAGTAGATGATAGAGACAACGAAACTAGGTACGAGGGTGACAGAAAGACACAAGTTAAGCATTGGCTTATCAGATCTTTTGAATACTCCATCCAGGGTTCAGTCAGTGAGCTTCGCGTTGCCCCCGCAATCTGTTGTTCAGCCTCTCTGAATCGGTTTATGAAGATGTCGCGTTGAGAATAGAAAAGACGTTTGTGATTCTAGAAATAATGAAAGAAAGATAGGAGGTGGAGGATCAAGTGGACACTCGTAAAAACCATAGCGACCTTCGTCTATCTCTTTGGTAGAATCGACAAAAGCTTCTGTAGATACCACCTTAACCGCCGTCAAACATGCTGAAACGAATGAACTGGGTGTCGGCCAGTTTGTACCAGAATGAAAATCAGCGATGCTCCCGAATACTAAAGTACTAATCATGAAGCTTAAGCAATACGGCATCGTCCTCCCCTGTGCCCCGTTGATCGGTGGATGAGAGGCCTAACTCTTTTAATGGTATAGTCGTATGCCCAGTGCTGACACACAGCTTGAGAATCGGCGGCGTCAGAATCCGAGTTGGTGCGTAGGTCGAGCCGATGAGCACACAATTGCGGAGCCGAACGGAATCTTTGATATTCAACCTGCGTTACTAGTGATTGCGCCGTTCTTAGCCGAATGATGTGTGGTATTTTAGCGCTGATTCTATGGAATCGAAATCGGCCTGGTTCCGTTTATGGTACGGCTTTTGAAAGAGTTCGGAACCATCTTGATACTCTGCCTCTCCACCCACACCTCTCAGGGTTACTATAACATCTCGTAGACGCCAGGTCGGACTGTGCAAAACGACGCTGAGTGCGGTACCAATTTGAGTCATGACACTTTCAGGTTGAGAGACGATGCAGACGGTAGTAAGGGTAAGAATGGGATAGATTCATATAAGTATCCGCCAATACTTCTCAAATGTTGGAAACCAACGATTCGCTATTGGAGCTACGTCTCGTAGATCTTTCGCAATGATTTGCGACAACCGAGGATCCTCGGCTTGGTAGTCGTCATATAGCTTCTCACCACTGACCTATCTGATATTACATCGGTTGCAGCTTGAAGATTTCGTGAAGTTGTTAATTCAAAGCCCGGTTCTTCTCCTGTAGGTATCACAAAAATATGTCAACGGGAATAGTAGGTTTCATGCCCACTTACACAACCCATTCTAGCTGAGAATAAGCGTCTCTTACACGTGGACGGGAGATTCTCTAAAGGACATAAATCTCGAACAAAGATACCTCGGCATTAGAAGAAGCACCACCAGCGGTATTCAGAGAGATTCTCCTATGAAGATCTAGAAATAACATACTATAACAGTTCATAAATAAATGCATAAGCAGAGCTTGTTTTAAGTCACTTATTAAACTCTTTCTAGAGAAGAAGACTGCATTAGAAGAAGCCTATAGAAGAAGACTATAAGCAGAGCAGACAATAAAAAGTAGTCTATAGACTAAAACTTATAAACTATATTCTTATAAATTCTACATAAAGACCTATATACCTATAAATGCTATGTAAAAGAACACCTTTTAGTAGGTCTATCTACGCAAGTACTTATTAGCAAAGTTAAAGTACTAGCTAAAATTCTAAGTAATGCAAATAATAAGCTGCACATCTTAAGCCTAGATAGTAATGCGCTTGCTATAGATAGCAGCCTGCTAAGTGCTTATAAATTAATAAGTCTAATACCTTATTTAATACTAATACATTAGCACTTACATTTTATTAAAGTTATAATAAAGGACTTAGCAGTTATTTATAATGCATAAAGTGCTTACTTACTTTAGTAAAGAGGTTTATTATATTAACATATACACATGCTAGTAGTTGCTCTTTAGTAGTAGTTAACTTAGAAAAGTTTAGTAAAAAGCTAAGATTAAAGTTATTTATGTCTTTTTAAAGTAAAATAAATTTCTTTTTATGTCTATATTTAAGTAAATTAGTAGCGCACTTTTTATAAGTACTTTATTAATTTAATCTTATATTAAACTACTTTTAATTGCAGGTAGTGCATGTATCTAACTTAATATTAAGTAGACTTTTATAGAAGTTGTTAATATAGCCTTTATTAACTTTTAGTATAGCCTAGTTTTTAAGAAATTTAACATTGTTAAAATTTATAGGTACAGGCGTAAATAAAAAATTATACGCACAGCGCTTAGTGTTTAAAAAGATATTTATGTTAATGTCCTTATTAAAACTATTACTAAGGTTGTTTTTATTTATACCTGCTTTTTATAACTAAGAGGGTGTAGACTAAAACTTTTTTTATGTTAATAGTAGCTTTTAAGTACATTACATACTTAAACTAATTAAAGTAAATAGCATAGGTAGTATATTAAAAAGGTTACCTAATAAGCTAAAGATTTTATATTAAAGAGATTATTAAAGCGTCTGTTATATAAAAATGTTATAAAAAAAAGAGCTTAATAGGCTAAAGTTTATAAAAAGTAATATATATGCTAGTTTTTTATTTATAGTATAAATGTTAACCTTACTTTTTAATTAGTAACACTTTTAATATAAAGTCTTTTACTTACTATTTTCTTTAAATATGTTATTTGCCTAGTCTAATAGCGTAGAACAATAACAACATAGGGGTACTAGAGAAGACAACAGTAGGATATAGGGTTGTAGTCTGTTATTTATAACATATGTAATATTAGTAAGAGCGCGCCTCTTAGCTAGCAGTAAAGGTATAAGGCTGCCCTAGGTAGGGCGCTTTCTTGCCTAGATTTATGTATTGCAGGGCGCACATTAAACCTTTTATTAAAGAAACGTCCTGTCTCTCTGTAGATCTATAGGGTGATAATAATTATTATAAAGTAAGAGAGGTTTATTAGCGTTAAATAGCAAAGGTACTATGTTATAAGTTATAGTAGGAGGTATTAGACAGGTATTAGACAACACGCGCAGTAAGGTTTTAGTTTTTGCGCAGAAAATAATTATCTAAAGATCTGCTATTTTTATGCTTATGTAAGCCTAAAAAGGCTAAAAGCAGTAATTCTTAGCTGCTAAGCCCTAACTAAAGAAAACTAAAGTCTACAGAAAGGAGCAGAGCAAGCTCCGCTAACAAGTTAGCGCTTTACTTGGCAGGCGGCCCACTATGGTAAGAAAATCGGATTAGTTTCTAGTTACCGTTTCAGCTGAATTAAGTGATCTCCTTCGGTGGTCCAGTCCCATGGTAGGATCCATTCCACCCGATCGGCTACTTCCAAATGCTTCGGATTGATGTCGCTTAGCTTGTAGCTGTCAACAAGCCGCTATATTGTTTAAGACACCATCAGCGGCTTGACCAAAGTTTCAGCTGGACAGGCTCGCCACAACCTACAAGCACTTCTTCGACATATGCCTCTATTCTTTTATT